TCTTAAGGCAACATGAACCACATGTCCACCTGGATCTATAAGGCTACAGCCATTTGGGAGGCACCATGAGGAGGTGACAGATGGATTAGAGGAGGATTCTGGAGACCTGACAAGCTCGGGGGGGGAACTCCCTAAACCAGTCTGTGAAGGGATGACATTGTCAAAGGCACAGAGCCAGAACCTCAAAGAGATAGCACTGACTCCATCATCAGCCAAACCAGCCCAGCACTGAGAGCTGTGCCAGGCCTTCCATGGACAGTGGGCAAGGAAGGACACTTCCAGTGAGCAGTAAGAATACAGGCTTCCTTTCACCAGTTAACATCTGACCAACAGGAGGGAAACAAGATTCTCTAAGTTGAAAGTCAGTAAGCCTCACTTGTGCCTCCCCTGCAGTCCTAGATCTCTAATGTCCATCTCGTGTACATGCCAAGGGGGTGGGGTCACTGGAAAAAAGTCAGCAATGGCAAGTATACCATGTTAAGTGGAGATGGGGTTGGACCCCTTTTGACCATGAGTTGGCGGAGAGGGAGGCACCCTGACACTTGAAGAGACATGGTGGGCTAGAGTGGACCAGGCAGAAGGAATCCTTGGATTTGGCCATTAAATATGTTGTATGGACCAGTGTTGGTTTCAGAACACAAGGAGTGAGGTTCGTTTGGCTTCATAGATCCCTGTCCTCAAGCCCTGTTGTTTGGAAGCCCCTTTCCTTGGCTGGGCTCCAAGTGTTTGTGTTTTAAAGTCTGGTTCACCTGGATGCCAGGGATCAGGTTTACATAATGATACGGAGGCTGTTTCTGTGCCACACACAAGAGGATTTTGTTATATCCCGAATGCAAGAGAATTACGTGAGTGTGTGGGGATGTGTGCAGTGCCCTTTGTGAATATCCTCACCAAGATAAGAACTAAAATGTCAAATTTGATCCCACAGGGAACTCTGGGACGTGATGTAGAATATGTGCCTCAGTCATCCTACAAGAAAGATGAAAGAGTTGAAGTATTTATACACCAACTCCTGTTGGCTACCAACTGAGAACTGTGCCTGGCAGACCTGGCTTCCCCAGTAGCTCAGACTTGTCTCATCCTGGGCAGAGAGGAAACCCCAAGGCAAGGAAATTCAGATACAGTGGGTGTAAGATCTCTAGGAACAAGTCAAAGCAGTAGGAGAGGAATGTGAGGCCAGAACATCATGTCACACTCTTATAGCCTTTGGTGTTGGAGGATGACATCAGATCCCTTATTAGTTATGTGTATTCTAACTTTATTGCAGGACTTAAGGATAGAGAAAATAAAATTTGGACCTTTTTTCTATCACTTAATTAAAATGTTTTTTTTAATTTATTTCTTTTTATTTTATGTATATGAGTGTATTGCCTGCATACATGTAAGTGCACCTGTGCCATGCAATGCCCACAGAGGATGGTTGTACAGAAAAGGGCATGGGATCCCCTGGAACTGGCATTATGGACAGTTGTTAGCTGCCATGTCGGTGCTGGGATTTGAACCCAGGTCTTCTGCAAGAACAGTCAGTGCTCTTAATTGCTGAACCATGTCTCCAGTCCCTCAATCGTTTAATTTTATTTTGCTATTAGGTGTGGTTAGAGGCCCTGGCCCATCAGAAGTACAACTACTTCTATGCAGATCCTCCATAGAGAACCATCAGCCTCAGCAGAACAGGGGCCCTATTCTCAGTACTCCAAAAATTCTTTGGAGAAATGGACAAAATTCACTCCATCAAGATGAATCAGACAGAGGAAAAGTAAAAGTGTAATAAAAACTGCCACAAGAACATGGTTCTGGAAAAGTGGCTCTGAACAGAGATGAGAAATACAGGGGAGCTGATGACCAGGTACAGAGAAAACGGAGGAAACAGCAAAAACAACTGAGCCGTAGGAGCTTCCGTGGTCAAAGGAGCCGAACTGAGAGACAGAAAGAAAGAGGAGGGGTGCTTAGTGATGGCAGGAAGTTCAGCATAGCTGTGATCACACCAAACAAGATGCATCTTCCTACATTGTAGGATCAAAGCAGCCTACCCTACGGATCCAGAGAAAGATCCCTGTAAAGCAAAGAACAGTCAACAGCGAGGACTCTCCTAACTCCAGATAACAAATGAAAAAGTTAGTTGCTGGGAGATCAGACAATGCCCAGACAATGATGGGAAGACCAGGAACCTGGAACTTAAGGACTGTGGAGCATCCGGTTCCAAGCCTGGACTACTGAGTTAGAATCTGCATATTAATGAAATCCATGGGTGATTTGGGAACACAGGAAAATTTGGGGAGCACTAGATTAAGCAAGGGCATTCAGGGTTTTCTCCTGGACTCTAAGAACAGGGTTGTAGTGAGTCATGGGTAGGAGACAAATTGGAACCAGAAAACTGGGTACAAACAATCAAGATGCTCTGTTGGTCTGGGGAAGTAACTCAGTGGTTGAGCACTTACCTGCATGTCCCCTGGGTTGGATCTCTAGTGTACAGGACAGCAGCAAAACAAAAACATCTCTGCCTTTGCCTCTGCTCCTGTTTGTCTGCTTTCTCTGTCCTAGAGCCATGTGCAGAAAATAGACTGAGGGCTCATGCACTTTCCTCTTGTCTCTCAGGTCACCTGCACAGATTAATTTTATAGTAGCGAAATTATTGGAGAATGTGCTAACGAGCCCAGTATGGACCAGGTGTTCCTCTGAGACAATTAGCTGGAAGAAAGGGGCGGATTCCAGCTAGGAGCAAACAACTAGAATGGAGAAGTGTGTAGGGTGGACAGGGATCCTGGCTGCTCTTTCCATTCACCTACAGAATGGGTCAGTATTGATGCATCCGGGGAGGCCGTGACTTCAAGATGTTCAGGCTCTTCTGGGTTTTATTCAAAAAAGACCTTAAGGAATGCCCACCTTGGCCTGCACTTGGGAGTGTAGGCGGTAGTGCCTTCCTGATGGCCTCTCAATAAAGGTCACACTTTACTGAAAAGTTAAGAATCTTTTCTTAGCCTAAGCTGTGGCAGAATTGATCCATCTTCTTCCTAAGAGAGAAGAATCCATCATGGGTCCTGGAAAACCAGTTGCCTGAAGAGCTGGAGAGCTGTGATTTTCAAACTCTCTCCCCAGAAGTGAAATTGTTTGATAATGAATCTGAAGATTCTTTTGCCAAGCTAAAGTTGTCAGGAATTGTTTATATGTTGTGATAGCTTATGAGAAAATAGAAACAATTAGCTTGACTTTGGGAAGAGCTACCACTCCAGAAAGAACCTCACTGTAGAAAGAGAGGTCATCACACCCCTAGAGCCCAACACATTGAAGAGGAGTTGAAACTGGAAAGAAGTTTGAGACTGGAGGGTTAATATTAGTACACAAATAGCAGAGGGCTTAGAGTAGTGGAAACAGCACCTCGTGGTGCTTGGCCTTGATGCATCATTTGGAATTTGCCTAACTTCAGGTATTTGAACCATTGAGGAAAGTCTTATAGGTCCCGCTTTGGGCTTTGGCCAGAAGTTATTAACAAATTGTACTTTAAAAAGAGCTTTTATTTATTTATAATTTTAAAAGTTAGCATGCTATTTGTTATTAGACTTTGATGTTAGCATATGAAGTAATGGGTTTCATTATGTCATTTTAAATCATATTTGTCATTTTGCTTTGTGCTTATTTACCCCCATTCTACTGTTCTTTTAAGTCTTTTTTCATTTATTTTATTTTTATTCGTGTGTGTGTGTGTGTGTGTGTGTGTGTGTGTGTCCCTGTGTCCACTTGAGTGCAGGTGGCTGAGGAGGCCAAAAGAGGGCATCAGATCCCTTGGAGCTGTAGCTACAGGCAGTTGTGAGCTGTCTGATAGGGATACTGAGAGCCGAACTTGGATCTTCTGTAAGAGTAGCAAGCTCTCTTAACCTCTGAGCCATCTCTCTAGCCCCTTAACCATGTTTTTAAAGGCTTGGCATGGTGGCATATGCCTGTGATCCCAGGAGTTCAAAATCATCCTTGGGAGTTCAAGGCCAGCCTGGGCTACATGAGACCCATCTCAAAAAAAAAAAAAAAAAAAAAAACCCCAAAATTTAAATAGCAAGTGCAAATAACGTTCATAGTAAGTAGTGTCACAGCCAGCAAAGCAGGTCAGGTCCATGTCTGCCCTGTCTTGCTCTACTTACTATGTGAACTACACGTGCTTATTCTTTCGGAGCTCTTAATATGCAGATTATGTTTATTTTATTTATCTGGAGTTGGTCACTGACTTACCAGTCACTTACCGTCCAAATAGCTTTCTTATAGCCTGTCAGTAGAAAACAGAATTCCCTCACAGCAGGCGTGAAATGTGAAGTCCTAGCACAGGGGAAGCATCATTATGGCTATCTATAGAGGTTGGAAATCTGATTTTATTGTGGGATCTATGACACTGAGGCAAAAGAGGAGGTGGATCAGGTTCCTCCTGGGATGACACGCCTTGTACTGCTGTGTCACAACATATAGAATATGGATTTGGTCTGCTGGCTGCATACTTCTCTCCATTGACTCCAATATATCCTATTGGATATACTTATAATGATGGTGAACTGTGTAAGAATAATAACAAAATTCACTAATTTAAAAACAGCCATAAAATTCAGGCAGACAAGCAAAATCTAACTCAGGAATCAGATCACTCGACTACCAAGTTTCTCTACTTCTAAATGGTCCATTGAGAAGAAAAGAATTAAAGCACTAGTTATACTGTAAAGAAACTGCTCTTTTAAACCAAGCAGAGGCATCTGTTTTGTTTAAATTAAGGGTCTGTAAGTACCAGCCAGGGATGGAGTTGACAGCCATTTCTATAATAAAGTAATGAATTACAGGGATGGTTAAGGAAGCAAGAAACACCACATTCTTGCTTTGTTCAACCAATTAAGCAATAAGACATCTGGGTCCTTTTGTTAATCACCAAGTACAACTTGCATAATTGAATACAGCTTTTTATTATATTAATTTATCCCAACAACTTCAGATACCCACGATGCCAATAATAAAGTTCACTTCAAAATAAAGGTCTTTTAAAATTTTTATTCTTCAATCATTAATACCCTTTTTACAAGGTTGTCCTCTGAGACCATTTAGCTCCATCTCAGCTTTCGGGTGTTAGAGGAATGTGCTTAAGTATAGACGGGTCTGAAACAAGAAGATGGTGACTAAAACCACTTCCCTAGATGTCCAGTACAGCTGTCTGTGATGATGGAATGTTCTACCTTGGTGCTTTCAGGTACATTAGCCATTAGCCACATGTGGCTACTGAACTCATGAAATGTGGCCAGTACAACTGAGGAATGGTTTCAAATTTCAAACTTCCCTAATTGCACAAATTTCTATGAAAATAGTCATATTGGGTTGGTGGCCATTATATCAGATCCATGAGTCTAGAGTGGTTCCAAGGCTGGAGAATTGCCTTGGGCATTGACTTGGCAGGTAGAAGGGAACACATAATTATGACCGGTACTTTGGAAAACCAAACTTCCTCCCCTATTCTTAATTGAAACAACCATGTCCTGAAACAGCCCAAAGGACACTGGCATCTTTAAGGGGAAGTTTCTAAGCTTACCATATAGAGAGCCAGCTTCACCCAGAAGACCAGCTTACTCAGCAGCCCTTGTGGCCTGGCCTTCATTCTGCTCTGGTTGAGGTGGAATCATTCAACCTGAAGCCACATTTAGGGGCCCTCCACAGTCACTATGGGTTCAGAGATGGCCCAGTCAGACCTCAGGGACATTTAACAGCCAAATCTCTTCTATAGCAATTATTTTGGCTTCAACCCTGACATTTCCCTTCTAAGGAGAACTGCCCCCTTTTAAAGGTTGCTATTTCTCATCAAGCCAATGCTACCCCCCCCAATGGGACACCAGGAGAGTTTATCAACTGTAAACACTTGTTCATGAGGATACCAGAATGTCCCGATCCTTCTCACACTATCAACAGAAGAGGAATCTATTGCAAGGAAATCTGATTGTGGATAACCAGCCAGAGAAGGGCTAGGGTGGGTGAATGGAGGTAGGCAGTTTCAAGAAAATTGTCCTGAAGATAAAAACATCTTACTCAGGTCTGCTGGCTCTTCAGTGGGCCAGGCTGAGCTAGAGTGTTGGGCCAAAGCACTTCTCTGTCTTGTATCCAGCTCTACCTGGTTTCTTACCCCACTTCCTTTCCTTCTGAGCTAGGGTTCAACCAATGAGCATAACATTTACGCTAATAACCTTAATCCAACATTTAGGATTGCAAGACCATTACACTTCCCTCAAACTCTCATGGTCGACCACATAACTGTCCAAGTTAAGGCTATTTGAGGTCTGAGAAATTGATCCTCCAGATCTGAAGTCTCTTGGAAGTGCTGTCAGTCAATGCCCAGGCTTTTTCCCATGGTCAGAGACAAAAGGAATCGTTAGGTGCTCAGTAGAAAAAAGAAGAATCTTCCCTACTTCATGATGATCATTTCTGGTAATGAATTCAATGAATCCTCTATTTTTTTTCCTTTGTAAAAACAGCCAGCGAACAATGAAATAAGGTACATGGAGAGAGTGTCTATGTATTTGGAGCTTTCTTCTCTCCTGTACCAGGAGCCCAGACACAAAAGGGACTGACTGAGGACACAGGAGCAGAACTGTGATGTTCAGTATCCTCTTTACTCTCTGTCGCTGTTATCATCGTTCATCCACAGAGTGGACCTGGTCAAAGTGCCACATCTGGCTGGCTTTCCCATCACATTGATGCAAGTACAAGTCCTTATTGTTTTGCTGAACCACAGCTTCCATGCATTTCCCAGAAAGAACATGGACAATCATCCCATCCTGAAAAGAGAAGGAAGAAGCCCAGTTCCCAGCAAAGTCAGCAAAGAAGGGTATTTTTAAGATTTCTGCTGATTCTTTTTTAAAGATGTTTTTTAACTTTTAGTTATTTTTTATGTGTATGCGTGTATTGCCTGCATGTAGGTAAGTGCACCCATGTCATGCAATGCCCGCAGAGGTCAGAAGAGGCTGTTGGATCCCCCGGGACTGGAATTATGGATAGTTGTTAGCTGCCATGTGAGTGCTGGGATTCGGACCCGGGTCTTCTACAAGAACAGTGTTCTTAACTGCTGAGCCATCTCTCCAGCCCATGATTCTTAAGAGACTAATAGAGGCAGTGTGAACAGCCTGAAAAGAAATGCTCCTCTACAGGCTGCAGAGATGGCTCAGGAGTTAAAAACACTGGCTGCTCTTGTAGAGGACCCAAGTTCGATTTCCAGCACCCATATCATGGCTAACATGCATCCCTAACTCCAGCTCCAGGAGATCTGACGCCCTCTTCTGGCTTCTGCAGGAAACACGCATACACATAGAAATGGTCCTTTAGTTTAGTATTGCGCCATTTCTTAGAAAGTTCTGGTTAGGATAAGTACAGGGGTAGACATACTCAGTCCTTTCATTATTTGTTAGAGGTTATCGCTCTATTCTCAGCTAATCTTGCAATTTAGTATTGTGGTCACCAGGTTGCAGTACCGAGAAGAGCAGGACCGAGGCCTCACTGGAGGCCTAATTAGACCAGCCAGTTCAGGAGAACATGGCTCACACCTTGCTCAAACACTATCAGATTTAATATTGAATCTAACATCTCTTTTTCAAGAAAAATCCAATTTCTTTATGAAACTGAACAACTTTACCCACAATGCTACAAATTCATGGTCATTGCTGAGATGTGCCAAAAAAAAAAAAAGACTGTTTACAATACACAAGGTAGTGGTTTTTAGTGTATTCCAGAATATTTCCATTGCTACAAGAAGGACCATTAGCAGTTGTTTGTCCTTTCTGCCTCTTCCTAACCACCGAGAATCACTAATCTACTTTCCTGTGTTTATGAGTTTGTTTAGTCTAGACATTCCATATAAGTAAAATTATATAATATGCAGCCTTTTATAATTAGCTTCTTTTGCATATTTTCAAGATTTATCCATATTGTAGCCCAAGTAAGGACATCATTCCTTTTCTTTTTATTGTGGTGAAAACAACAAAACACTTTATTTTCAACTGCAAAGTTTAGAAATGTTAAATATGTTCACATTATTGTGAAATAGTTTTCCATAGCTGAACTGGAACTCTATACTCACTAAACAGTAGTGCCCCTCCTCCTCCTTCCCCAGGCTCTGGCAGCCTCCATTCCCTTCATGTTTCTGTGATTTTTAACTGCTTTACAGAACTCATAAGAGTGGAACGCCACAGCTTTTGTTTCTGTGACAGGCTTAATTTAGCCTGATGTCCTCAAGGGTCACCCCTGTTGTCCCATGTGACAGGATTTCCTTCCATTTTAAGGCAGAATAATATTTTATTATGTGAAATTACTTCTCAGAGGAATGCAACCTTACCTAAGTGACAAACGTTAGGATAAATATGTGTTCACATTTTATCTCTTTATCTGCGGATGGACATTTGGGGATGCTTCCCGCTCTTGGATATTATAAACAGTGCCACCGAAAAGAGTGCCGCGTTCTTTTTTTTCTGGCTGAATAATGTCTCATGTACCTTTTTTCCTTTCCCCTTAGCTTTCTTCCTTTCGCTTTTCCCCTTTCCTTTTTTCCTGTTCTGGATACTAGACACAGGGCCTTACCCTTACTGGGTAAGTGCCCTGCCACTGAACTAAACTTCCAGCCTCCCTCCCTCCCTCCCTCCCTCCCTCTTCCTTCCTTCCTTCCTTCCTCCCTCCCTCCCTCCCTCC